ACTTTAGGTTTAGGTTTTGTTTTTTTTTTTTTTTTTTTCATGAATAGTGGTCCTATTAAGAATAGGATAGTTTTGGTGTTTTTCCAAAATTGCTACCTTTCCTCTCCCAGTTGCAAACATGAAGCGATGTTTCTCTAATTTTCACCGTAAGAATGTTATAGGGTTCTTGGAAGTAAAATCCAGAGCGTGTGGGATCTTACCTATGGCACCTGTGTCAGAGCAGGCAGTTTGTGCGCCTGAAAGCTCTGAAATGTTCGCCATCACTGTCCTGGAGTTCTTAGACTCTTCCACACTAAGATCAGCTTCAGTTTCCCTCCCTGGATACTGGTTCTAACAGGGCTTTGTACTTGTGTGTGTCTGTGCCTCCCTGCCTGGAAGTGTAGACAGTGGATTGCAGGGTGACCTTAGTTCTCCGCTGGATCTCTACACAATTTGTGACTTGCAATTTCTTCCGTTTCTTCAGTGAAGAGGTATTGTTTATTCTTGTCCTGTGGATAGACTCATAAGTTCCACCTTCCTTGCAGCTGGTCCAGAACCAGAGATTTTGTAGGCTTTCTGCATTGAAATTGGTTCTGTTTCTCCACCCTTTGCATTCTTGCCCTGCTCTGTCTCTTTGTCCTCGCCCCTTTTTGTTTAGCGGTGTTGTTCTGGCATTACTTCTCCCCCAGGACCTTATCTGTGTAACAACACTAGTGGAGGTATTGCTATACCGTGGTCATTGTAGTTCAGCTCAGTAGCTTAGAGAGAATACAGTAGTATTTCAAGACCAGGTTTGCTTCATTCTCTGGCTTACTTCTGATTTGACTCAGTTTTCTTGTCTCTTTTTGCAACATTTGAGTGAGTCCAGATCCAATCTGAGGTAGTGCGCTCCTTCCCCAGCGTGAAAGAATTCTGTGGTTTCTATTGTGTTTGTCTTGGGCATATCTGGTTTTCTTATTTTAAACTGTTTTCTTAAAAATAAGTTTTGACTTTTTAATATTTGCTTTGTATATAAATCAGAGTCAATGTATTAAGTTACTCTGCTAACCTGATTAAAGCTTAACCTTAGGAAATGTTTCACTTAAATTTGTATTTTTTGGAAGCTATGGGGATTTTTACTAATTTATAAAGAAATATTTCAAACCTTATTTGTGACAAATAGATCATAGAAAACTCTTTATATTTCTGATATAGCAATGTTATTGATTGAGGAATAGTCTATTTTGGTTTTAAATATCGATGAAAAAGTGGATTAAAACTTTTTATGTACTATAAAATTCGTAGGTGAAGTTTATTGATACTGTACATACTTAATAATTTCATGCCATCTGGTAAAAAGGAGAGCATTTAAAATTGGATTGCTTTAAACTATGAACACTATTATATGAATGTAGAAGAATAATCAAGGAAAATAATTCTAGGAAAAAATAATTGATTAAAGAAATATAGCATTACAACATTTGAAAGAAATATTGGTGGAAGAATTTTTACATTATAGATTTCTTTGATAATATTGTTTCAATATTGAACATGCCTTCCAACTTTGATTTTAGGAATAACGAATAATTACAACATGTTTCAAAAATCAAATACAAAAATAAAAACCTATTATTTGTAGCTAATGTAATCATTTTAAACATCATATTCCTGTTTTTATATTCTTTTGAATAAATGTATTTTTGTCGTAAGCCCAGGGTTAAGAATTATAGAAATATAATAGTTTTGTTCAGACCGAAAGAGCTAATCATCTCTTTCCCTTTTATTCTTTAGGCTGCTACGTCTGGCTGGGGGCAAAGTGCCCTTTTCCTCTCAGCCCTGTGGACCGCACTGCTTATTTAAACAGCTCTGTGTGTCACTGCCTGAGCAGGAGCTGCCGTCTTCAGTTCTATTACTCCCTGGAAAGCAGTATTCTAAGAGTGCAACTATATAATAACGAGGTAAGAAAGAGGTAACATTTGCTTCAACATCATCAGACGAGTGAACTTTCTATCTTCACTACTTGTGTTTCTATTTCTCATTCGTAACTAAGCCTTAGGGCTTTAGTAACTTGGCATTATTCAGGATACTTTTTAAAAGAATTATCATGAGGCCAGTGTGAGAAAGGAAGGAGTATCCTGCAGCAATATAGTTGTGATTATTTGTGTGGCATCATTTCATAAAGTTGTGAAAATCCATGAAACTGTACTGAAGAAGTTATAGCTCTCACCAGGGGAAATACGTGGAATTTTGGCTTGTTCACTCTGTTGAAACTCTCATGTGGCCTGTTTGGATATTAGATCGATATATCATTGAAAGTATAAATATGATGAAGTAAGTTATTTGTTTTGGTACAAGTATTTACACTTTTGAAGACTGGTAGCTGCTGATTAAATATAAACAAATCATTCCTTTGAATTAAAAGAAAAGGCTCACCTGATAGAAAGTTGTGACGTCAGGGAATGAAGCAAATTCAGGCCTTTAACTAAAAGCAGTTCTCTACAGGAGGGAAAAACACACGAAGAACTTTGACAGTCTCTGTTGTGAAGGAAAACTTATTTAAAGATGGGAATAAATCAATCACAGCAGTAAATAGCAGTCATGGTAGAAATTGGAGACATTTGATCGTAATTGCAGGAATTCTGACATTGGAAAAGAGGAAGACAGTACAGGCATCCAGGTGACTCCCTGTGTGTCAGGATGCTTTCAGTACACCCAGTTAGAACTTCTGCATGATGTGGACCTCATTTCCCATTTCCACAGAGTTTATCACCTGTGCGTATTTGGTGCCATTGAACAGCCCAGCAATAGCATTTCCCTCTGGACTGTTTCCTTCTGAATTTTGGCATGCTGTCATACCCCGCACGTGTGAGAATGATTATTACCAGACATTTGAACATTCGGGAGGAATCTTTTTTATCCTCTCTTCCTTTACTTTTTGTACCTTTTTCTTTTTCTTTTTCTTTCCTCATTGAGTTTGTTCATACATTTTAGTTATACAGTATGGTTACATTCATTACTGGGATCTTGTACCTTCACATGACAGGTCTTGGTTCGCATTTTTCCCCCTTTCCCTGCCCTCCCTTCACCCCCTCCTCCCCTCCCCATTTACAAACACTTTATTTCCATTTTTTTCAGTTCCTCATATTTTTTCCTCTCCCTTATTACCTTTCCCCTACCCTTCCCACTTCCCCTACACCTTTAGTCCTTTTCTTCCTATTTCACATTGTCAATTAGGATTAGGGTTGTTTTTTGTACCATTTTCATCACCTTTCTTCTTCTTTCTTCTACCTCTTCCCTTTATTTACTTATTTATTTATTTGTTTATTTATTGGTACCAGGGACCGAACTCTGGTCCTTGCGCTTGTAAGGCAGGCAAGATCCCTGACCTAGATCAGGCAAGATCACTGAGCTAGATCCCTGACCCTTACCTCCTCTGCCTTTGAGAGATACTCAGAGAGTTCTCAGTCATACAGTTGGATGGATATTCCATTAAAATTACTTGGCTGAGACACAGTGTTAAACATTCTGTAACTATACTATATTTATGTGACTTTTTGGCAGTAGTAGTTTGTAGCCAGTTGGTCTACATCTATTGGATCTACTTCATTTAATTTGGCAAGTTGCATGGGTAGAGGTAGGTGAAGAACACATTTCCCTACTCTTTTTGCACCACAACAAAACTTTCCATATAAATGGTAGCAATTCTATGAAACACAAAGTCCCCTCGAAACTAAATATCAAAAGCTAAACTTTATCCAAATAGCACTCTTGGCCCATATATCATTCATGTCCCAATAATCTTTTGGTTACTGTCACCTGTCTCCCTACCCCTGTGTAAATGAGGCCCTGTAAGATATCAGGTAATCTATACCCTTCTGTAGTTTCCATTTTCCCACTTCAATAAAAACATAGTAAAAAATTCTAGACTAATTTTATTAAGTTTAAATAATATTTGAAGGTAAAAAACAAGACCATGTAATAGTATTATTCATGTAGAAAGTAATTTATGTTCATTTATGTCAAATGAATTATCTCAATTTACTTAGAAAGTTAAATCTTACATATTCTAATCTCAAGAATTATTATAACCTGAAGATTTTAATATAATCAGTGATGGATTTTTAAAATTTTCAATATGTGTAATAGAGTTACGATTGATTGAAATTGAACACTGTCATTCTTCTGGCGGCCTTGGAGCTGTGTAAGAAAAGAATGAGAACAAATTTTCTTCAGATACCATATAATCTAATAAAAATAGACTTAAGAGTTCATGTCACCCATTGTAAGGAAAGAAGAAGTTAAGCCAGCAGAACTGATCTAGCATATTGACTAGAGCCAGTTGGGCATACAGTTTAGAGAGTATCAACTGACGCTGAACTCATGGTGTGCACCTTGTGTGCTGCAAGACATCTTGGCTTTTCTGACCCTCTCATTCATCATCCTGTATACCTGTAACTTGGTGGTCACTGCTGAAAAATCTGCATCCAAGTATATTCAGGACAAAAATCGATGCTTTATCACAGACTTAGAAAGGACTCTGAACATAAGATTGAAAACACACCTGATGAAAATGTCATTTGTATCTTCTGTAAATAGAATGCTGATTGTTAGGATGAGCATACTCATATTTAGTGAGAATGCTAAAGTTCATTGTGATTATTTCCAGAGGACTTTAGAATTAGAGAATTAGGAAATATATGTGAAGATAAGTTGTTAAGTAAAAAGTACTCTTTAAAAGAGTCTACTTAAGTGTGCTACACTTCTAGTTTGTACTGTCTAGCTATTCTCGGAATCGATCTCTGTGTATCACATAATAATGATAATAATAACAACAATAACAACAACAACAATAGCCTACCTTGTTTCTTGAGAGGGTCCCTGCCCTTGAGTCCCGGATCTGGGTGACTTGCTTGAGGTGCCATTTACATGTTTTCTAAATCTCCAATGGCAAACAGAATGCACATAAAATTCAGAAAGGAAATAACTTGTAGAATATTTTTGTATGATATTTTTTTAAAGCTCTAATAAAGTTTCTTTGAAAGAAGGTCTTTACCAAATTATATGGGTCTGTCATGGTTCTCAATTAAAAAAAAAACACCCTAAAACCCGACAACCTTGAATTTGGCAACTTTGATTGCTTCACTGGAAAAGAGGATAAACTGAAATCTCTAAGAAATGTGGTAAAAATGCTTCTGTTGAGAGGTAAATTAGCATTATTGATCTGGACGGGGATCAAAGAGTTTTAATGTTTTTATTGTTTGATTTTAAGATATTAGGAAAATTAGGGCATCACATGAAAATCTTTTCAAGGCTGTTACTTTATTTTTTATATTCTATTAAAAATAACTACATAGTCTGAGAGTAAGAAAAAAAATAAACAGACACTGTTTTTGTTTAGTTGGGGAAAGTTCTTCCATACCATTCTTTATATTATTAGGAAAGAAAATGTGGTAGGGAAATCTTGATTTCATTCATAGCATACCATTAACTTAGTATACAGAAGGCCACAAGTTTGGGAAGATCTCTTGTTTCCTCTATAAAAACTTGTAAGTGCTTTCATCTTCAGGTAAAACACAGGGAAATCAGTTTGTCATTGTGCAATAAAAACACAGTTGCTTTAAATTTTTCTGATAAAATGAACAGTGAGAGATGTGATGAAAATAGCATGCCGAGTTGTGACACACGCCAACCATTGTCACTAATAGTACTTGTGGAGGGCCTGTGTGTCTGTACGCTAGCTAAATAAATCAAGATATGTACAAAATCATTGGAAGAATTTGTCGTACAGCTTGACTTTTATAACTAGTTCATCCGCTGTGACATGGAATCTGTCAGCTAAAGATGTGTTCATCTCACGGGTTTCGCTGTGTCATGGACGTTTTACTAGTTGTTGTGACTGAGTACTGACACGAAGAATATTTTTTTGGATGTATTACCTTCCAAAATATTTAGAGCTTGGTAATTCAGAGTATTCTTCAGAGTGTATAGGACTAAGTTGGAAATAGATTCATTTTTAGAAAATCTTAGATATAAATAAAATAGTGAAGCAGAGTAAGGAGATAAATGCTTACATGAGTGAAAAATTAGGTCATGTGTCATTAGAATTCTAAGTAGTCATCACTTTTTCTTGTTTTCTTTCTCATACTACAAGCCAAGCAAGGCCAGTCTCAGAGCTCATAGTTATGGCATTCTCCATGTTTTTATGATATTTATACATGAAAAAATAAATACATCCTATATTACGAACACTGTGCTCCATCTTTCCCAGGGACTGTCAAATTAACTTGAATGTTTTCTGTAATCTAAAGACAAAAGGGGATGATCTGAGAGCATAAAAGCATGGCCATAAATCATAAAGACCAGTACTGTAAACACCATCGGAGACTTGTGCTGAATGTCTAACTTCATAGTGGTTAGTGATAATTTCACATATTTTGGAAATTAGCCATAGATCATTGTCCAGGTATGTACATCTGGGACGTCCTACTGAAATACAATTAAGAAAGCATATATATCAGTGTGAAAGCAGAATGTCTTTTTCTTCAAATCAAAGGGAGAAGAAACATTTTGGACATACAATACATCAACTCAGAGCAAATGGGTGAAAGCAGATGTTTCAATACCAGAAGGTCTGAAGACATTTAAGGTATAAAAGGAAATAAAAATGTATTTTTAATCACCAGTTTATGAACTTTTAGTTTTGTAGTAGTGAATTTATCATCAACTACTCAATTTGAATTAGAATGTAAATTAAGAATGTAACCTTGCATGTCTAGGAGAGTGGTAATTATATACATCTGGCCCTTAGCAGACCATATTTGTTTACTCTCCATCAGAGCTGCCTCATTCTCTGTGTAGCAACTCCAGATCTCTGCCTTGCACCGAGAAACAATATTTATTATGCATATGATAAGTAGTAAACTGATGTTGAAAATCAGTGAAACATATATGTAAATATTTTGAATGCAGTAATTCATGTCTTTATTCCACTTGGATAATTGTGTCTGTAGCAAGATACATTTGAAACATATATATGCCCCGAGAAACTCAATGAATGCTGCTTCTTAAAATATTAACATGAGATTTTGTGTTGTGTATAGTATAATACTTAGGTGTGAGTTTTAAAAGAGACTGGTTTTATGGATGGCTTATGAAACAATTCCTTCCCTTTATGATATAGTTCATACATTTTGTAGGTATTAATGGGAAAAATTCCCCAAATACTGACATGTAGATATTTAGTATCGCATATACTTGTAAGCTTGAAATTCTGAACCATAGAAATTTTGTAGCAAACTTGCAGTTTAAATGACGTTATATTTCTGAGTTAATGTTTTGACGCTATTTTAATTCATTTATAAGCTGGTCTTTAGCTTTATAACTTCTGAAAGAAATATGAGTCTCTTTCTGTTTCCACAAATTGAAGATTAAAGTTTATCTTATTTGATTCAAAGATAAACTAAAATGTGAAGAAAGTAAATTTGGGATTTATTATAGCTTTTTTTGTTTGTTTTGTTTTGGTACCTGGGATAGAAGTCAGATCCTTGTGCTTGCGAGGCAGGACCCGGAATCACTGAGATAAATTCCCAGCTATTATATGTTTCAAACACATATAAAATGTACCTAACTTTTTAATAATGACAGACTTTAGAGATCTATGTGAAACTTACCAACATTTGAAATGTTAAATGATTACTCTGCATATTTGACTTATTGCTGCTATGAATATATACAGCTACCAGCCCAATAATTTTCATGTATATGATATTGATTATGAGAAAAGTGAATAGCAGTATATATAGTGTTCTTGTGATTGGATATAATTTAAATTTAATATCTTTTTTATAGTTTTTATTTTTTATTATTATATCTTTCCAGTACATAATGAGTACATTCTTTTGTTTTGTTTTTTTTTGTTGTTGTTTTTTGAGATCGGGTCTCATTATGTAGTTGAGACTGACCTGGAACTCACTATGTAGCCCAGGCTAGTCTGGTACTCACAGTGATCCTCCTGCCTCAGCCTCCCGAGTGCTGGGATTACAGGCGTGCGCCACCACGCCCAGCTATGAGTACATTCTTTATGGGGAGTTGGTACCTATACATGACCTATCTTAATTCTTTTTTCAACCCTTTACCTCTCCACTTCCTCCTGCTTTTATCTTTTAATCCCCATCCCATATGAGAAGTAATTACTCCCTATTTCTTATTATGTGTCCTTTATTTTGCTCTTAGATTTTTGTGTTTCTCATAAAAGAGAAACGATGCAATGTTTAAGCTTCTGTAACTGATTAATTTCATTTCACATTATGGCCTCAAGGTTTATCCATTTTCCTACAAATGACTCAGGTTCTTCCTTTACTGCAGAGTAGTACTTCATTGCATATAAATACCTTATTTTCCTATCCACTCCTGAGTTGTGCTGCTGTAAACATGGATGCGTGGCTCCCTGAAATATGGCATCTTTAACTCTTTGGTATAAATGCCTAGAAGCAGAATAGCTGAGCCAAATGGAATTTCATATCTTGGCCTTTTAGGACTCTCCATACTGATTTCCACAGCGGTTGGACCAGTTCCTTCTCATCGGCAATGTAGAAGGGTTCCTTTTTCCCTGTAGTCTCACTAGCATGAGTTACTATTTCATGTTTTGATAATAGCCATTCTTTCTGGAGTAATATAGTATCTTGGTGTGGTTTTAATTTGCATTTATCTAATGGCCAAGTCAATGAACTTTTTTTTCATGTATTTATTGTTCATTTTTACTTTTTCTAAGAAGTATCTGTTCACTTCAGGAGCCTAGTTTTTGATTGGTCTTTTATTTTGGTGGATCTCATTTTCTGATTTCTTCATATATGTTTTAAACATTAGTCCTCAGAATGGCTGGCAAAATTTTTCCCATTCCTTCGGTTGTACCTTTGTTTTGTTGGGTGTTTCTTTTGCTGAGTGGAAGCTTTTAAATTTGATAAGCTCTAATTTTTTGATTCTTGTATTTTTTTACGTGCAATTGGGATTCTGTTTAGAAAGTCCTTGACTAAACTTCAAGAGTGTTTTACCTAATTTATCTTTTAGCAGATTAACTGTGTCCATTTCAACAGATAGATCTTGGTTCCGTTGTAATTTTAGTTTATTATACGGTGAGAGATAATGGGTCTGGATCCTCTGTAGAGGATCATGTCATCTGCAAATAATGATAATTTGACTTCATTCTTTCCCATACATATTCCTTTTACTTTATTTTTTCTTGCCTGATTGCTCTAGCTAATGTTTAAAGGCGTATGTTGAACAGGAGTGGTGGTAGTGGACATCCTTACCTTACTCCTGATTTTAGAGGGAAAGCTTTTAATTTTTCCTCATTTAAAGTGATGTTGACAGTAGGTTTGTCCTAAGTGGCTTTTATCAGATTAAGATACAGTCCCTCTATACATTTTTTTTCAGTGTTTGTATCATATATGGATGTCGAATTTTTCAGAGACTTTTTCTGTGTCTGTCAAGATGACTATGTGATTTTTATCCTTGCTTCTATTTATGTTCTGTGTTACATTTACTGATTGTATACGTTGGTCCATCATTGCATCCTTGGGATGAAGCCTACTTGTTCATGATGTATATATGCCCTTTTAATGATTTGTTGAATTCTTTTTGCCAGTGTCTTGTTGAAGATACTTCGGTCTATGTTCGTTAAGGAGATTGGCCTATAGCTCTGTTTTTTGGTTGAACTTTGTCTGATTTTAGAATCAGCCTAATGCTACCTTCCAGGAATAACTTTGGGAGTATGCTTTCCCTTTCAATTTCATTAAAGAGCTTGAAGAATATTATTGGTAGAGCATCCCTGAAGTTCTTGTAGTACAGACTTGGACTACTTAGTTGATAGATTTTTAAAAATTACTGCTTCAGTTTTCTTGCCTGTTATGTGATTATTAAGGGTTTTTATGTGTCCTTGGTTCAGTCTTGATAATTCATATAAATCTAGGAATCTTTGCAATTCTTCTAAATTGTCCAGTTTATTGGTGTACAGCTTTTTGATACAGTTGCTAAAAATTTTCTGGATTTCAGTGGTATCTGTTGTGATTTCACATTCTTATTTCTAATTGCAATGCTTTATGTCTTTACTTTCTTTTTTTGTAAGAATGGCTAAGGCTTTATCTATTTTGTTTATTCTTGTGAAGAACCAGCTCTTCGATTCATTGAATCATTGTATTTTTTTTTTTAGTTGCAGTTTCGGTGATTTCTGTTCTTATATTTATAATTCCTCACTTGTACTAATTTTGGAATTTAGATTGTTACTGTTCTTCTAGGACTCTATGGTGTATCATTATCATTTGGTTATTTATCTGGGTATATTCTGGTTTTTTTTGTTTTGTTTTGTTTTTGGATGTGGACATTCACAGATGTGAGCTTTCCTCTTAGTACTGCTTTCATTGTGTCCCCTAAGTTTGATTAATGTTATAATGGTGGACATTGTTTTCTTGTAGGAACTGTCTTACTATACCATGGATAAGCCATGGTATAATTGTAATTCTTTTTCATTTACTTAAGCATTCTGTACTGGCTAAGTATATACTCTGTTTTGGAGAAAACTCATGTGCCACTAAGAAGACTGCGCATTCTGTTTTTGGGTGGAACATTCAGTAGATATCTTATTAATATTGTCTTCTAAAGTAAAAATTTAATATACTTGCAAACTGAAACTTGATTAAAGTAATTCTTAAATACAAAAGTCTATTTAGAAAATTTTAGACTAAATAAGACTGAAAGAAGTCAATGTTTATTTCTACCATCTTGCTAAAACTTTTTAATGTCTGGTTCACTGCTGTTCAATAGAACTTTCTGCTGGCCTGAAAATTTTCTGCATCTGTACTGTCCCAATATGGTAGCCATTAGAAATATAGTATGGGGCTCTTGAACATTGGAAAGATAGCTAATGTGATGGAGAAGATGAATTTAAATTTTATTTTAATTCATTAAAATTGAATAATTATAATTGTGAGCTTCTAAATTGGACCTCAGGAAATTAGTTATTCACTATATAGCCCATTATTTATTCTTCTGCATGTTGGGTGTTTAATCATTATTCTTGGTAGAACCTCAAAGTGCAGTAGTGTTTTGGCACTATCTCACGTGGGAGTGGCACTATAAGGCAGTTTCACTGGTTGATATTGCTTTCCTCCAGAATAGCTAGCAGTTTGCTTATTTTCTTTAGGTGACACTTTTATTCTCACTAGAAAAAGTATTCTTTTCCAAAAGATAATTTATTTTTATATTTTTACTTTTAAATTGTTATTAGATTAGGTTACTTTCTATCAGATCATATTTTCCATCATTAAAATATGAATTTTAGTAGTTAAAAACTCAGATTCAGTTATAGCACTTGTAGGGTAAGGCATGACGTTGCTTTTTCTTTACTGTGAAGATAGCTGGGAAGGTGAAGCCCAAGTAACAAGTGTGCAGTTAGGACGTTTGGGTGGGTAAGTGGGATGCTGTACTTTCACCCAGCCTGGGTAGTTTCTCAGAGGCCTTAGGGGAGCAAACATTTTCATCAGTGTTGGGGTATGAATTGAATTTATCAAATAGGAACTTTGCTCCCACTTGTCCTTGGCTGTTCCTTGAACAGCTATTTGCTATTTAATCTCTATCATCCTTCTTTAGGGCTTTTTTATTTTTTTGTCTCTTAAAAGAGTACAAGGTCATAGATTGATCATTTTCCCCCCAAAGATTGTTTTCGAAGGTGTCATTTTGAGCCAGAGAAGTTTCATTGGGCTTGATCGGCTGTCAGTCTACGGACAAAACCACTCCAGACGGCTGTGCTCTGAGGATGAGTTCACTTGTGCCAGCGGCCAGTGTGTTGCCCAAGACTCCATCTGTGACTCTCAGCGAGACTGCTCTGATGCCAGCGATGAAGACCCATTGACCTGCTGTAAGTGAACTGGTAGCTTGCTTACTTGCCTGTCCTATTTCCTGACTACTGGATTTAAGATAGCCTCTGTTTCTGAGAAGGTAATGTAATTTCTATAAAATAAGCTGAGTGAACATTTTTACTCTAAAATAAATAGCACTATTCCTTTGCGAGTCTTTAAGTTAGTTTGATATTTTAGTGCTTCTTGCTAAGATTGCAGACATAGTCTCCGCATTTGCTCCACCAGTGAGTGAGCAGTGCTATTGTTGTTTGCGTGCAGGAACGTGTATGCCTTTTGTTAGGGAATAAAATGCCAAGTGATAGGGAATCTCCTTGTCCTTCCCTTAGGAGATATGTATTATGGATTGCTAACCTTTATTAAGCATGTGTTTTTTTTCTTTCTCCCGTTCCTAACCAATTATCCTGAAAGTCGAGGAGAGAAAGTAAAAAAGAGGAGGGCTGCATCGCCCCCGGTGCAGCAGTGACGACACAGAGGTCACCTCAGCCACCACTGGCAGCCATGAGGGCAAACTCGGCCACACCTTCCTTTCAGGGCTCCCGTGGAGACTCTTTGATGGAGGAATGACGAGAGAGCCCATTACTGGTGAAACCGAGTCATGTTTCAAAGACAGATTTAATCCACAACCGCCATGATGGCTCTCATAGGAAATCACTTAGCAACTAAGATGCTTGTGTCTTCTTAGAAACTAAATCTCTTTTGTATATAGCAAATAAGGGAACTTAAAAAATACTAAAATCTTGACATTTATTTTGCTGTAGTATTTAAACGTAAAACACTAAAATAGCAAGATATTTTGTTCAGCAGTAGGAAATATTGCAGTAAGATAAATGTTAGCGTCTTACAGAAAAGATCTTTGTATAACATTGGTTTCTTGATGGATGACCCTAGGTTTTATTAAGAATAATGAAGAAAGATGCTGGAAGAAGAAATGAAAACATAAGGGAGAAATCCTCTCCTGACCTGACTGTAAACAGAAATTCAGTAATTTTTCAAACACCTAGCTTTAAGCTAAATAATCTACTAAACAGTATAATCTCAGTGGTGTGTTTATGTGGTACTCCTCTTTCACTAAAAAAAAGAATAACTTTTCTCTCTATTGTGTGTCAGGTTCCTTTCTATGCTTTATATAAATTTTTAAACACATTTTGGTCCATTTCTTGGAAAATTCATCTTTCTAACAGCTTCTATTAGTTTTAGTTTCAGTAACTGCACAATATATTTCATTTTCATTGTACATTTAAAAACACAATTTCTTCTTTTTTTCTCCTAAAATAAATGATTCCTTTGTGCGCTTAATATCTTTTCTTAATTGAATTCATCCATAGATTATTAGCGGATGTGTCAGTGCTTGATTTTGGATATATCTTCCCATTTTTCATCTTCATTGAAGTTTCACTGTTTATGTAGCTGACATTTTTGTAATATAGCTTATGTTAATACTATTCAGCTGTTTCTTTTGGGCAACAGGGAAAGATGTATGTACATATCAAAAAAACAAGTGTTACATGATAATCTTTGAAGTTTTCCAAATACTATAACCTCACATGCCCAGTAAAAATTTGCACCCAAATGACTCCTTCATGTAAATATTTGTACACTGATTTTTGCCATAGGAATTTATTTCTATAAATAAATTAAAGGGAATTATTAAAATTCCTATGAATTTACACTGTTTCGTGCTCTGAAGTATTTAGTATGTTTATGTGTACAGATGCATGCATATATTGTGATAGGAGGAGAGGCCTTCGTTTAGAACTTAGAATTCTAATGAAGAAAGCTTACAAGTTCATGAAGCCAAGCAGAATGCTTTGTGTCTTCTTTTGAGCCCACTTTAGAGTGAATCTACAGGATGGGGTGGGTCATACCTGCGTTTGAATAGCTCCAGGACTGCCGATCACGTCCTGGAGACATAGTAAATATTAATGTGTAAATATTGTCAGAATTCTTCATGTCTTTGTGGTTTTCCAGAGGGGACGTTCTTCACTCAACAGCTTTCATTACCAGGTTCCCTATAATTAATGTAGCTCCTGTGAGCCCCTGGCCCAGTGGCTTTTTGAGAGAGGTAACTGTAAAGCGCTGGTGGGTTTTGCTGCTGTTTAGCTTTTGTCATGTCCTCTGAGGACGCTAGCAGCAGCGACATCCAGGAACTCGTTCAAAAAGCAGAACCTGAGGCCCTAGTTCTGCCCAACAGAACTGAGAGCTGCGTTGTGATAGGGTCCCTGGTGACTCATCTGATTGTTAGACTTGCAGAACCACTGTGCCAAAGAGCCTTCAGAAACGAGGCAAGCCGAGGGAGGAAACAGATGGCAAATAAAAAGAAAAAATTGACATGAAAACGAAAGGCAAACTACTCTGAGGCCTCTCAAGATAGAAGCCAGAACTCTCATTACCACACCAGGCCCTAGGAGAATCCTGATGCTACATAGAGCTAGATTTTTAAATTTCATTACCGCAGACCTGTATAAAGCAGGGACGGCAAAGATTCAAACCGATGCTCACAATGAACTGCCGTGGTTAAATGTTCAAGAGAAAGCTTTTTTGTAGCTGGAAACTATTTCTCTAAATTAAATGTCACTGTTCTCGTGGGCTGTGTCATGTCACATATTTTGTTTAGAGGTAATGAAATGTATTTTTATAATCATTGAAAATTAAATGAAAAGCAATAGTGGAGATAAAAATAACGATAAATTGTATAAATATTAAAATGTAGCTTTAGGAGAAAAGTTCCAACTATTCCTTTCAATAGCTAGCTGTTTCATCAGTGAAATGTCAGTTCTTACACTTTCTATAGAACACTAAACACACTCTGTCCTTTGAAACATGAAAATTAATTTTTAAAATCTTATCACCTCAAAAATTTGTGAAAGGAGCATATTCCAGTCACCTCTGTAAAAATCTTGGGGAATTGTTCAGTTATTTTACCAATGACATTAATCCCACTACACTGTAAAGGAGTCTACAAAATTGAGTATTCTGGAACTTACTAGCTCTTGTAAGTTAAATTCCAGGTCTCTAAGTTGAGGTTTGCCATTAGTAATATTTCCCTTACATAATTTAAAGGGTTCAAGGTGAAGTAATAAGTATGGTCAAGAAGATCAGATGCATACTAGTAACAGTTAAATGCCTTGCCATATTTAATATGTTAAATTCTTGTAAATTTTAGAAAACAATTTTTTTGTTTTGATGATTTTCTTGCTTTTAGCTGTTTTTGAGAATTCAGGGTAATTATGGCATGTACTTGGAACTCAGTGGTAAGTATCTGTTGTTATTAAAGATAACAGCATTATGACCTTAGGAGGCTTGTCAAAGCTTTAAAAAATGATATTTTCCCCTTCCCTGTACTGTTGTAAAATGCCACAGCATAGAGAGATTTTTGGAAATTAAGCTTTAAATTTATTGTATTAATTTATCCCCAACACTAGGTTCTAAGAGAGGCTGATGTTGCTATGATTATTACTTTAGGAAAAGGAAATTAAGTGTTCAAATCTAGTTTCTCAGAGGCACAGATCAAGTTGCTGAGCCTGGTGCTCTAAAATCTGCTGTTTTTCTCAATAATTTGATGTCAGAAGTTGGGAAAGATGTTAGGAAGCTTTCCCCAAACACCAATTTTCTCTAGAAGTAGTGCTGTCATGATAAACACAGTAATTTAAATTCTTACCAAGTTTTAAGTTATGTAATAAGAAAAGAAAAGTAAAAATCAGAATATCTAATTTACCTGCAATTTTAAAGTGGCAAGGCATTTAACTTGGAAAAATCATAATATGAAGAATAATGAAATGAATGCTGAGCAATTGACTTCAAGTTGTTCAGGTACCCAGGATTAATTTAAATTATTCTTTTAAAAGTATTTTTTTAAAAAATCTGCAGTCTCAGCAGGTTTGTAGTTGTCAGGTGAATCAGTATCTCACCACAAATCACTAGTGTTTTGTGGTGTTTTTAATACCATGGAGATGGTTAATTAGGATGAAATGTGCCCGATTGGTTGATAGAAGCACGTCGAAGCTGTGTCCTGTTAGAACATTGAACACTTATGTGGATGAGGGGAAAAAAAGCTATTCTGATCATTGGGAGGTTTCTGTGCAAAGTGGACAACACCACTGCCCTCCTATATTTTCTGGTTTATATAAAGTCAGTGTTCCATTGCTTGCTCTATTTTCATTTTCTCTAACCTGATTTCTTTTCTACATTGAACAGCAAAGCGTCTCAGCTGTAACTTTGAGTCTGGTTTCTGTGGCTGGGAGCCGTTTCTCATGGAAGACGCACACTGGGAGTTAGTGAAAGGGCTGGGCGATGGAGAGCAACATTTTCCCAGAGCTGATCGCAGAGCAAACACAAACCATGGTAGGAAATTTTCCTCTTAAAAATTAATGTTCTTTCTTTCCTGTTGTAGAATAACAGTACCATGTATTTTCATTGCCATGAGTAGGTTGTGGTTTGTTTGAAGTATCCTGACACATTTAACAATTAGTTGTCAAGTTTCCATAAAGAAGTGTTCTTTTAGTAGCAGATGTTCTTGCTATTGTAATTTTAAAAGGTTAGTTTGGAGACATAAAGAGCAAAGTTTTCTGATCAGTCTCTGTAATTGCCAGGAATTAGTACAGTAAGATGCCTTCTTTGCAAACAATCCAATTTTTGCAAAGCAGGAAGAAAAATAATCTGCTTCTCTTGGGAATATAGATAGATATTTAATTCTGTTTATAAAATAAGTCTGCAAATGCTTGAATTCAATTTAATCCCACTTTTCACTCCTTTACATCAAATGATCATAGTTTTCTCCGTATTCTGAACTAACATTATAATTTATATATATATAAAGGAGACATAACTGTAACATATAAAAGAACCACATAACATTCAAAAAGAGTTTGTGGAAGTCCAAGTAAAACAGAAAGGCTTGGTTCTCTATTTTTTTTTGTTTTGTTTTGTGTACTTTTACATGGTGTCAGATGCTCTTGAATGTATACCTCGGTATCATATTAACTTTGTAATCATACAACAGTAATGTTGATCTTTTTTAAAGTTTGTTGAGCATCGTACTATTGATTTCTCTTTTGAGACTTCCAAAGTTTGCATAAAACCAGACAGACATATTTTTAAGTACAGTCATTGGCAGTTGGGGTTGTTGGATTGTTGGGTAGGAACAGGGAAGGGAGACTTTGACCACCTATTTGTTGGCTACAACTACAAATCCAGTTCATTTTTGAAAGAGTGAAGTGAGTTCTTGCTTCTTTGCCAGTGAGGCTTATTTTTATTTTGAAGACTTTGTGGTAGAGTAGTGGAAGCTTAAAGTTTAAAATAGAAAGGAGAATACTGACAACTGGAACTATAAAATAATGCTGCATTTTCTTTAAGAGTTTAGGATGAGGGCTTGGGATTTAGCTCAGCGGTTCGGTGGCCTGCCTTGCAAGCGCAAAGACCTGAGTTTAATCCCCGCTACAAAAAAAAAAAAAAAAAAAAAAAAAAAAAAAAAAAAAAAAAAAAAAAAAAAAAAAAAAAAAAAAAAAAAAAAAAAAAAAAAAAAAAAAAAAAAAAAAAAAGAGTTTAGGATGTTTTGTTTCTATTTTTCTTGCTCAAACCCATGACTGGTTATGTAGAGTAGACCAGGCTGTGTAAAAGTGGAAAGAAGCCACAGCCCCCGTCTTTGAAGTGCTTGGACTCTGGCAGCAGCAGCAGACTAGAACGAAACTGCAGTAGGGTATGAGACATGCTTCCTGGGGGTGGAAGGGATTAATGTGCACCCTGAAGGAGAGAGGCACACTCTTCAGCTAAGCGCTAGGAAGAAATTAAGAGTGTTCAGGAAGGCAGATGTTGGAAATCATAAGGAGGGACGGCAGGGAACGTGGTCTAATTAGAGGAGATCGCTTGAAAGTCGATGGGAGAAGTAAGTGTAGGTAGTTCCGGCTGAGTGACGTGCATGCTTGGACATGCAGCGTAGGAAAGATGAAACAAGAGTGCATGGAGTTTGAAGTTCACCTGAAGACAGTGGAGACCCAATTAGATGAAAGTGTGGGACCAAGCATATTTATTCTGAAGCAGTATTTTAGCTGCGATGAGGGCAAAGGAAAAGGTGAAAGACTGAGTCGGGAAGATACGGGTGTACTGAGGTAGAAAGGCCCAGACTGCGGCAGTGATTCACAGAAGGAAACTGCACACCCTGCTTTGTGAAAGGCCTTGCCTGGACCCCGAGGGCAGCGCACTTCCCAGCCTAAGTCACGGCGGTGACACTGCTCACAGTACTCAGTTTTGGTAGCTGGAAGACAGGGAGGAGCTAAAGGACTTGCATGTAGGGTGTTGTGAGGAGTAAATAAGATTGTATTTGTTTCCTCCACACAGTAATAACTCAAACATGAACCCATTGTTGTTTTCTGTTCCACTAGGAATGCCAAGAATACCTCCAGGTGTGACAATTAGAAAACACATTATGATTCGCTTTCAGACTTCTGCCGTCTTACCTTATTTATTCTGCAGAAAGGATTCTGCGGGGCTTTCTGTGAAATTTGTCTTTTGCTTTTATATAAATAATGTTAAAAGATAAAACCAAGAGCAGCTGTTCTCATTCAAAGAGAGGAGGACAAATTGCAATACTGTTCATTTTGGAAAGGGCCAATTAAAAAATAAAATTACATATAAATTACAACAAATATACATTATATATTATAAACTATTATGTACTTAGTAGAATTGTAAAATATATATTGTAAAATATTGTAATAAATATAAATTATATTATAGAGATAGCTGAGTCATAGAGCCAACACTTTTTAACTCAGTCTCTGTTTCAAACCGTAAGATAATTAGTAGTGGTTTCAGATCACATATAAAGGGAGAGAGAAGGAAAACCAGGAGGACAAAGGGAGCGAGGTGCACCTTTGTAGGGAATGCAGTGCAGTCCGATAGCTCCCAGGTCGAAGACAATGAACTGCTCATGTATTTTGTTCGGAGAGCATAAGTTCATTGAGCTTTTAAAGCTCATCTCCAGTATTTTTCTTTATATAGATACTCCTGTACATGATTTTACATAAAAGCTGAATGGGTTGATATTAGGCTATGTGCGCCTGTGTAGTCTTAAAATGAAGGCTTAATTTTTTTCCGCTTGGCTTCTGTTTTCTTATACCTAATTACTTGGTTAAACGTCTAAATGGACAGCTCATTTGCTTACCTTCTACTTTTCTATGTGCTCATATAATAATGTACAGGAGTATACATCATACATACTCAAACACAAAATATGTTCCCACCTTTTTCTATTTGTTTTTGATTGTGAAAGACAGAGTCTCGCTGTGTAGTTCAGGCTGGTTTTGAACTCATGGCAATCCTCCTGTCTCAGCCTCCTGGAGTGTTGGGATTACAGGCGTATGCCACCCACCCACCTTATATTATTACCTTGCTACTAAAGATTTTTCATGGTGATTCCTCCAAGTCATCAGGTATAAGCTGTTCTTTTCACTTTTATATCAAAGACTAATTTAAATATAACAAAATCCATTTTTTAGTATATAGCTCACCAATTTTGTTGTTGTTCTTGTTGTTTTGAGACAGGGTCTCACTGTGTAGTCCAGGCTGGTCTTCAGCTCACTGTGTAGCCAGTGCTGGCCTCAAGCTCATGGCAATCCTCCTGCCTCACCCTCCTGAGTACTGGGATTATGGGCATGTGCCACCACGTCTGGCAGTTCACCAAATTTTAACAAGCATACACAGTGGTGGAACCATTATGAAGCTCAAGATATAAAAGAGTTCCAACCTCCCTAAATTCTTCATGGCATTTTGTGGTCAAAGTGTCTTACACCTGACACCTGGCACTTATACTGACACTTGATTGGATTTCTAGCCCTGATGTTCCAGAATGGCATGTAGGTAGATTTTACACTGTGTAGCCTCTTGGGTCTGGCTTTGTTTCATTAGCACAGTGGATTTGAAATTCATCTTTGCTTTTGATGGATTGCAGTAGGATTATCTTTTCTGTTTTATTTAATTTATTTTGTTGTGATTATGAACTTATTAATTGTACAGATTAATGAGTTTCTACATGTACCAGCCATCTCTTTTTTGGTTTCACTGTTGGGTAGTATCCCCTCATACTGCCAAACTGTGGTTCCTTTACCTACTAACCAACTGAAGAACAAATGTTGGTTAATATTAATAAAGACATGATAAAATTTGCAGACTTATTAGCTTTTCTGTCAGGAAGATAATATTTGATACACACAAGTTTAAGGATAAATTCATAGGGCTCATGGTTTTAGGGGATTCAGTCCATAGTCGGTTGGAAAGGCACAGTGAAGCAAAACAGCTTCGTTATGGTGGCCGGGAGGCCAAGCAGGGCAACAGTGCCAGAGAAGAGGGGGCAAAAACTATGAGTGGTTCCCAAAGTCGTGCTCCATTACCCATCTAGACACATCCAAAAGGTTGCTTTTCTAATCCGTTACATGGCTCGCAAGACAATCAGTTTGATGGTTAACCACCACAGCATACATGTTTTATGTCCAGATCTGCATATTCATTTGGATTGCGTGCTCTGTACAATGTTCATTTGAGTTAGTGAGGAAAGCCCACTATCCCTGGCCATTTGTGGCTTTTGGGAACATTCCAGCTTCCTCTTCCAGGGGTCTTCTCACCCCCAGCCACAGGTAGTTCTTTTCACATCCGCACTCTTGGCGATTGAAGGATAGTGGTGTCCCTCTGTAGATCTCTGTAGCTTCTTTTTGCAGCTGTAAATGGACAGAGAGTGCATCAGGACTTGAAAGGGACAGCTGTATTGGATCTTATGAATCCCAGCCACCTGGGCCTCCCAGAGCACCAACACTACCTTTTCAACTCAGAGAGATCCTCCCATTCCTCTTGATGCCCCTTGTTCCACAGAAGCCTGGAAGCTGTCTGGACACTAAACTGAGAAATGGGAGAACTTAATGCCCTTGTATCTCTTTTTTTTTTTACGATCTCTAGCCTACGATCCCACATTTAAAAACCATTGTTCGACACATATTTTTCCGATTTTTTTTTTCTCATTTAAAGTCAGGACATTAAATATGATCTGTGACAGGTTTCCTTTGAGGTAGAATTAGCCTGATTCATGTCTTTGCTTAAGTTCTTCAGTCTGGATATGTCACAGTGTATCCGGTCATTCTCCCTCCCAGGGATATTAATATTATGAGAATGTTTGTGAATTCATTTTTATCCGCATTTCAATACGTAGAATACGTTTGATTTTGTGAAATAGATACCTAGGAATGAGGTTCCTATATTTTAAAAGCAAAATATATGTTTATACTTTTAATAAATATTGGTGGATTAATGTATGCTATTAATGTACTTCTATAATTTTAATGAATACGGATTATTCCCCACATACTTTAATTTTTAGCAACAAAGTAGAAGTGTGCCTCTTCAGTTTCCTACCAGCGCGAGGCATCATCATTCTCTTAAAAATTTTGCAGTTTGTGGCTATGAAATAATTTCTCCTAATTTCTATTTATGTTTAACTGATAATAATTTAAAAAATCTTTCAATCTCTTAACCTGTTGAAATTGGCTTTAATTTCACTAGATATTTTGCAGCTATCTCTAAAGATTTTGAAAGTCTTTTGCTCGTATTTTCCTAGTTTTTTATAGCTATTGAAAATGTCACTTTTTAACAAATTTTTGGAGGTTATTGCTGATACATAGTAAATTTAGTAATTTTTAAAAATATTGACCATGTATCCAATGGTCTTGGTAATTTTATTTGTAATATCTAATAGTTTTTTAAATATTCTAAGTTCACTATTATTTTTTCTCCTTTCTGAGTGTCAGATCACATACGTGCACACGCACACACACACACACACACACACACACACACACGGTCCATTTTTTTCCCGTTTCTGTCATGCATGAGATAGGGCCTCTGGGAAATTGTTGACTAGAACTGGAGATAGTGACTAGACTTGTCTTATTCCTATCTCCTGGGAAATCCTGTCAGTAATTTAGTCATAAGTGCCAAGCTTGCTAAAAAATCATATTTGTCAAATAACAACATTCCTTTCTGTTGATAATTCATTTATATTTTTTCTTTTTAAATTTTAATGTAAGACAAGTAGACATTGATAAAAATATAAAAAAGTTCCCATGAAAAATACCTTTGTATAACAAAAATAGAAAATAACAATAATAAATACACTTTATCACAATCTGAAAAGAATATATTTTCAATTAGTAATCTGTATCTCATTTCCTAATACTACTGTACTTTTTTACATAAAATATTTTAATTATTAACAAAGTGTCTAACACTCTGTATAATTTTGAACAATTTCTTGCTGTTTTGCAATATCTATTACAATTTTGGTCCTTGTTTATACTTTCAGTTTCTCGCATCAGAGAAGCGATGTGATATTTACAAGTGTGTTCCATTTATTTCACTTAAGAGTACAGTCTCAAGTTGCATCCATTTACCTAGAAGTGTCTTAAGTTTATCCTTTCTTATGGTCAAATAGTACTCCATTATATAAAAAAACACAAAACTTCTTTATCCACTTACTGGTTGATGGCCATTTGAGTTATTTCTAAGATATAGCACAAATTGTGCTTCTATAAACATGGATGTGCATATGTCACTGTGGTATGATGCTTTTAATTCTTTTGGGAAGATACCCAAAAGGGGAATGGCTGAATCAAATGGGACCTTTAATCCTAAGTTTTTGAGGAATTCCGCAGTGGTTACACCAGTCTACACTCCCACCAGCAGTGGAGAAGGGTTCCTTTTTCCCTACAGCCCGGCCAACGTTGTTGATTGATTTCTTGATAATAGCCCTTCTTTCTGGAGTGAGGTGGAATCTCAACATTATTTTAATTTTCATCTCTTAAATGACTGGTGGTGTTGAACATTTTTTTCATATGTTTATTTGCCATTTCTACTTCTTCATTTGAGAATCGTGAGAATCTCAGATGCCCAGTTTTGAATTATGTCTTTAAATTTGAGGGTCTGCTTTTTTAAAAATCTTTTTTATATGATCTGTATATTAGCCTTTTTTCTGAAGAACTACTAGATAACTTTTTTGCCCACTCTGTGGGTTGTCTTTTCACTCTGTTGGTGATTTTTTTTGCTGTGCAAAAGCTTTTTAATATGAGATCTCAGTTGTTGATTCTTTACAGTATTTCTCATGTGGGCAGGGTTTTGTTCCTAAAGTCTTTGCCCACACCTATGTCTTGGAGTTCTACCTGTTCTTTCTTCCAGTAGATTTAGTGTGTCTGTTTTAATATTTAGATTTTTGATCTAGTTTGATTTTAGTTTAGTGGATGGTGAAAGATATGGGTGTAGTTTTAGTCTTTAGCATGCGGAAAACCAGTTTTTCCCGCATCATTTTATGAAAGAGGCTATCTTTCTTCGAGTAAAGGTGTTTTCCCTCTTTGTTAAAGATAGGGTGGTGGTTGAGTGTGTTTGGAGTTGTTTCTGCATCTTCTAAACTGTACCACTGATCCTCAGGTCTGTTTCTTTGCCAGTACCATGCTGTTTTTGTCACAGAAGCTCTGTGGTATCAAGTCAGGGATTGTGATGCCTCCACCTTGCCTTTGTTGCCCAGAATTACTTTTGCCCTTCTAGGACTCTTCTAGTACCTAATGAATTTTAGGAATGTTTGCTATAGCTCTGTGAGGTATACTAATGCTGTTTTTATTGAGATTGCATTAAATCTGTATAACAATTCTGTGAGTTTGGCCATTTTCACTATGGTGGTTCTTCCTACCCAGGAGCAAGGGATATCTTTGCTTCTTCTGATATCCTCTTTGATCTCCTTTTTCAGAGTACTATAATTTTCAATATAAAGACCTTTTGCTTCATTTCTTTTTTTATAATAATGAAAAAGTTAAAATTCTCAAATTTTTAACTTTCATCAATTTGGTTTTATCTATTTCAATTATTTGTTTCTGTATTGTACATGGTAATGTTTGCTTTACAGCTATATTCACTAAAAGGACTCATTTCTATTATTCTCAAAATATGTATGGTGTAACTTTGAGAACATTGTATTACAATGGGTGAAAACTTTGCCAAAGGCAAGACCAAGGCCAGTGGGACACTTTCTTCCTTAATTTTTTGTTTAGATGTGTGAAGAAATCTATAATAAAATACATTTCAATTCTGAAATGCTTTCTTTTCTGTGTAGTTAGCACTTACGCCCATGCAGGAAAATCACTGACCAACGGTGATATTTTTCCATCAAAATACTGACTTTCCAAGTGGCCTATCCCTTTGTGATGATCAGAGGGCACCATCAGACCTGGACATTGTTTGGCGTTGCGTGCCGTGGAAGCTTTCAGTATTCCATGAAGCCATTCCTTGCAGCAGCTCCAAATGTGTGATCTTTGGAGCTGCTAGGAGATGTTATTCCCCTGTACATTTGCTGTGAGCGCATCCACTGTAGTTAAAATCTAAAAGTGGGCATTCTGTTAACGTTCAGATTAGATCTTTAATTAAGCTTTCATCCCCTCTAGCACAGACAACAATGTCAAACGTGGAAGCCCCAGGAGAAACCAGACTCATTCCACAGGCTTGTATCTTTAAGTACTTTTTGAAGAAACTTAAAAACAAAACTCTCATAAGAATTTCATGTGGGCATGCTGAATATCCAGTTGTAAATTTAGAGGCCTCAATGAATTTGATTTCAAACTCTGTGACTCAAGGCCATGAGAATAGGTGATTTGGATCAAGTGCTTGCAGTTAATCAAGTGAATTTTGCTTTAGGTATTTAATGTCATTCATATAAAACAATTTCAGTTATCTACAGAGCTACATGGTAAATGAGTAAAAATGTAATTTCCTTTATCTGGTTGATAGTGGAATGTGTGCAAGGATAAGATACACAAATGTGAAATGTGCAACAGAACTGGTGTCCAGATGACATTACATTTGTTTTTGCAGGATCATTTATTTATTTTGGGGCACATCAGTCACCCGGAGTGGCCAAGCTTGAAAGTCCTATCCTTACAAAATTGCTCACTGCGTCTTCACCATGTCAGGTAATTAACTCTCTTCGAATTTCATTGGCCATTCTGTAGTTATGTGGATTACTCTGCTAGTAAATGCCTGCCGTGGTTTACTACCATTTTCCTGATGAGCTAAGAGATTTATATGAGCTCTTTCAGCACCAAATGCTATTCTTCGCACAGACTGTTTACAGCACATAACTTACCCCATTCTTTGTGGGAGGTCCATTAAGAAGCTTTCAGTTATTTTATATTCTTTTCACATGAAGTTTTCAGCAATGGCATGAGTTTTCCAAAATTGTTTACCATTTTGCCATATAATGTTAATTGGGTAAAATCAGTTAAACGAGTGCTTGTTGAAAGCAGGAAGGATGACAAAGAGATAAATATTTTTTAACGTTCAAATCGCAGTCTTGCCATTTTCTAATTGTTATGCACACAAATTGTATATTCTTTTAAGACTTGGAGTATAAGCATTAGTATAGCACCTTCACATGGTTGTGAAGGTTTAAATGTGATTAATCAAAGCACCTGGCAAAAAATTTGGCACATAGTAGGTATTTACAAAGCAAAATTCTTTCACTTTCCATAAAACTAACACCTAAATCGACTGTTTTCGATCAGCTCCCCTTGCTTTCAGTTCTTGTTTTCAGTTCTTTCCCAACATTCCTTCAAGTCTTAAGATCATCCATGATTTATTATTTCTTCCTCAGAAAATAACAGATCAATACTGCAGCATGTGCAATTCGTTGCCTATAAATGTAGGGTTACAGTAGTTTGTTCAGACATTCCTGATGATAAATTGTTTATCATTTGGGGATAGAAGCCTTATTATTCTTTTGGCTTAGTATAAGTCTGAATGGGAGAGTCCAAAGCTCTGAATATATGGTCGTCGTCTTTTTTCTTTTTCTATTTCCCCCTAGTTCTTTGTGAGAATGAAGATTTAAACAACTGCCTGTCTCCATTTCTGCCTTAACCGAATGCCCTTTACCTATTCTCACCTTTCCTTTATTTTAATTAAGTGCTGTGTGATAGAAGATATAGATTTTTTTAAAGAGAACCCCAGAAGCAATTATTTGGACTTTGAACAGTACTTTACAAGCTAGCTTAGCTTTAATTCAAGGTCATACACTGAGTTACATGCAGAAAGGACGCTGACTAAAAAAGAATAAAATGTGTTAATTCGGACACAATAAAAGCTTGTTGGCGATTCCAATAAGTATTAATGAAAAATATATATCTTTTTGAGGATGATCTACGTTTGCCGTCGTTCTGTGTTTGCTAGTTGCCATTAGTTTGTGATCACTGGGATTGATTTTCAATTTATCATGGTTTCTATGTAAAGACCCTTTGTTTTCTATTAAACGTGCAGTTACTTAGGGGAGTCTCAGTGAAAAAATTTTAGGGACAGTTTGGATGCTTGCTAATTTACCTGCTAACCAGTGTGTCTGTTTCCAAGGACTTTGAATACCGACTTAAAGTTTTTCCTTGTTTTGTGAAAACTGAGAATGCTTTGAGGAGCTACTCCTGGTTGCCTGCTGAAACTAATATTTGTTTTTCTTTCTTCTCTGTATCTATTTGAGTTTTAGTACTCCGTGAGTTAGAATATTTGGGTGAGTTTCTAGTACTTTCTGGTTTGGTAAGCAGTGGCAGACCAGTAGAGGAAGTTACTTTTAGTCTGGGACACACACAGCTAATGAGCTCTCTCCAGGACTTTTCCTCAGAGTCTAACATGGCTGTGTTTAAGTGTGTGGCAGCATGTAGCACTTTGGGTCATCTGAATTCCAGAATCAGCACAGATACCAGATTGCGGTCTTCTTGAGTACTCGGAGAATCCAAGCAGATCATCCGAGTTAGAGCATGATGCTTGCTTTCGTGGGAACACATACCCTGCATTATGAAAGCGTAAGCAAAAGCAGTGAGATAACTCAAGTTGGACACTTGATATGATTAAAGCCTTCATTTTATGAAATTGTGTGATTTTTTTCCCCCTTACGCAATTATATCAGGATAGTACCGTTAAGAGTTTTTTTGAAAGCACTTTAAAGGGATGTGAGCTTTCTTCTGAGTCACCTCCCCTTACGGTACAGTTTTGGACCATTTTGCACGAATTGCCTTGTACTTTAAACGCTGCCAACACATGCTGTCAGCATGCCCAGTTGTCTTTCCAGTAATCACTGTTCATGGGGACTTTAAGACCAGCGAAACTTCATCGACTGGTGGAAACTTGGCCTTTTTCTTGGAAATAGGAGAGAGGATAAGTAGAACACATGAAAGCCAGAAGCTACTCTTTTTTATTGAGGTTGAGATGCAATTAATATTTACAGTTACTTAGGAAACATGAAATATGATGAGGATTAATGTATTAATATTTCTGAGTGTTAATATCTATTTATGTATTAATATTTACATTTTATTTACCGTACCAAAACCATAGCCTTTTATTTTAGCATCTCGCAGTTAAATACCGGAAAATTTATGATATGAAACAAAATTTAGTTTTCATTACTAGTTTGTAAGTTTGTTTCTCATTTATTTTTAATTCTCTGAGTTATTTTCCAGTTATTTTCATATTTTTTCAATTAAAAATAATCTGTAAGCTTCAAAAAATGCGAATGAGGAAATTGGGAAAAAAATCAATGAAGTGGGAAGTGGGTTGGCTCTTAAGGTGGTTCATTAGGCCCAGGCTACACACGGAGTCTTGTTTTCAGCAGCCAAAAAAGCAACAAAGATTCATAGCTCAAACTCAATGAAGTGAAAAGAGAAGGAGCCCTTCCAAGACTTCTCTTCTGCCAAATAATGTTAATTGGGTAAAATCAGTTAAATAGTGCTTGGTGAAAGAAGGAAGGATGACAAAAAGATAAAGAGACTTCTCTTCGAGTTCTCAGAGGGACAGCACTGTAAGGATTCTGTGTCTGGTTTGTCGTACATATGTTCCTCGCCTACTCTGCGAGTGACGGTCTCAGCTGTCACATAGCTGTGTAACAGGGAATGCATGACTCTCCTGCAGAAGGTAGAGGGCCATGAGTGACCCTGACACCCATTTGATGTAAGATGCTGAGGGTAGCTTTGATGTGTTTACAGTTGTAAAACTTTCCTGGATGGTTTTGAAAGGTTAAGTCTCGCCATTTGCCTCAAGTAAGGTGATGAACTCATACTAAGGAGCATGTTTGCTTGTAACAGTGCGTGCATGCCCTGTCCCTGGTTCTACTTTTGAATCCAGGGGTAGATGTCAGATTGTCTGATGGATTCTAGAGGACTCTATAGTCAGAGAAAGAAAGGTTGAACAAGTATTATCTCCATTGTACGTGATCAGATCATGTGGAGTTTAATTGTTTCAGTGAGTAAAGTGTTGCTTTATTGACAGTGCAAAAGTTTTACTTACACTAATCTAAGGAAAGAATGCTCAGGCTAAAACATAATTATGACTAGAAGCCATAAAAAGAACTATAGCAACATGGTATTGTTTTGTGTATTCGTGTGTGTGTGTGTGAGAGAGAGTGTGAGAGAGAGGGAGGGACAGACAGACAGACAGAGACAGAGATAGAAATTTTAGGAGCTACAGGTATTTTAAGTTTGTTTGCTTTGCTATGCTTAATTTAAAAATTTCTTTTATTCTTGTTGTTTTATATCTTCTTATTCTAGATCTTCATAAGATATATCACATACAGAAAAAACCTTTCCTCAGAAAACAGGGTCCCATGTGAAGCAGGAAATGTAGATTTTGTTGGCCAGGTGTCCATTACTAGAGCAAGATACCTGACATAATCAAGTTACAAAAAGAAAACATTTATTTTGGTTCATGATTTTGGAGGTTTCAGCTTGCACCGGTTGGTCCTGTGCTTTGGGGGTCTCTGGTGAGACAGTGTATCACAGCGAGTCCATGTAGTGAAGCAAAGTCATTACCTGTGCCAGGAAGTGAAAAAGAGAGGAGCTAGGTCCTAAAATCTCCCTCCAGGGCGCACCCTCAGTGACTGGAAGGCTTTCGCAAGGTTTCATTCCTTTAAGTTCCTGCCACCTCCTGATGGTGCCATATTGGAGAATAAGCCTTCAACACATGCACGGGTCGTGCAAGATCCAGACTATGGCACAGAGATAGCTAAGGGTCTGCAGTGGAGCTGCGTGAGGAGGGCATGAAGATCTGACAGGTGGGGAAGCAGTAGAAACAAAGGACAGAGGAGACGTGCAGAAAGAAGAAAGCTTTTGGAAAAGGAGAGTTTTGATCAGTGCCAGATCAAAATTGAATGAAAAAGGAAACAGGAATAAAGAAGTCAATTGGGGCTTCTACATGATGACCCAGATGGCCTTTTCAGGGTTGTGTATTGAGCCCATCACTTCTTTATGGGAGGGTCTGCTCCTCCCCAGAACACTGAGGGCACTGTAGGGACCAAAGAGCGGAGGGTGCTGAGGTCCTGTCACCCACTTCTACCTGCTTACTCAGTGACAGGTCTAGATCACCTGTGAGGATCTGTGCTTTTGGGGTGAAACAGGTGATTTAGTGTGCATGGCTTTAGCTACGAATATGGGATCAGAGTGCAGTTAAGTAGAGTATGGGAATGTGACCTTCAGTTTGACATGAAGGACCTGCCTTGCTGAGCTTTGTAACCAGGTGAACTTCCCTTAAGTGCGGTGATATGGGTCTTGAGTACTCACATTACACATAAATTGTGCCTTACTCAAAACCCAAGATAAATCAAGTCAGGCTTCTTCTGTTTGCAGATTATTTAATTACTTTTCAGTAAATTAAGAAAACTGTTTCTTTTAAAAGGGTAAGTAGTACGTGAGTTTTGGAATTTAACTTCATGCTGTGTGATTGTTCAATACAAAGTTCTGTTATGGTGGAAAATGTCAATATTATGTTCAATATGGTAATCACTAGGTATGCATAACTGTTGAGTGTTTAGGATGAGGTGAATATAAGTGAGAAATTGAATTTTTAATTTTGTTTTATTTTAATTAACTTATATTTAAATAGCTGTATTTTTTCAGACTTTCATCATTATACTTATTGTAATTAAGGGTCCCTTTTTATTTTCTGTGCTTCCCTCTCCCCTCCCAAAGGATGCCTAATGCCTTGTGCAGTTTTTGATATTGATCAGGTTCATCGTCTGTCTGTCTGTCTGCCTGTCTGTCTCATTCTCTCTCTGTCTCTCTCTCATGGGTATTGAACCCACGACCTTCACACTGGTCTATCTCTCCAGATAGTTCTCCTTATATTTCTAAGACCTTACTTTAGCACTAATACCAATAGTTCATTCTTTATTTTTTCTAAAGTATATTAACTGAATACTTAGTAAATACAAATTACAGTAGTAGGTTCTGCAAGGAATTTAAAGATACCTTGCACTTTTGAAATTATGACTTGCATCACACAGAGAGGAACAGAATTTGAAAGTGTGGTGACCACTGAAGTAGAATCACATCTGTATTAATGTTTGTTCAATGGTTTCACCTTGACTACCTTAAATTTAAAAAGTCTAGGGAAGCTCTCTTGGTCTATAATAAACTGAAGAATTTAAGTTTCTCCAGTGCAAATTTTGTTCTCTTGAAAGAGTAAATTATAAGTTCTAAGTTCTTATCCTATTGAATGTGGAGCCTTTTGACGTTTACACTTAGTACACCGTTAAAATAACCACTGGTGAGGTGCTTGAGTGACAGTTTGACAGCTTGCAATTCTGATGGGATGTGCACAGCACTTATACAACTAGGTTTAAAGCTCTGTTTTGCATATTTACAAGCTGGGAACACATTGAAACTTATACCAGGGGTCTAAAATTTAATTTCAGTTGGGGAATATGAATTCTTTCTTTTTATTGTATTTAATTAAATGCTTCCATTTGACTTTTCTAATTTACCTGCCAAGGTTTGAATTTAGGTGAGCATTATAATGAAATCTAGTATGAAATAGACAATCTGAAGGAATTTTTTTGGATTATTTGGTAGTAATTAAGTAGAAGTTGAAAAAACTCTATATCAAATTGGAACATAAATGTTTGTTTTAAACTGAAAAAACAACAATTTAAGGAACTTTTGAAGTGTCTTTTTCAACTTTCATCACTGAAATTGATCCCAACAGTGTCCGTGTGACAGGCTAGACTCATAACGACAAAGGAACAAGCAAAACACTATATAATGAAACTTAAGAGTCACTTTGGATCCAATGATAAGGATTCTATTTCTGAGGGGCTTTATTTTTGAATGTTTGATTTTTCCTTTAAAACATGCAGTCTCTGCACTCTGACAATGAAAAGAAGAAAACTGTTGACTGTGTTGAATGTGAACTTGCTTTTGAAGGTTTTCCGGTAGATTTTAGAGAGTAAATCATCCAACCTTTGAGGGAATTAATTTTGGCCTTGTATTTTACCAGATACCTAGTAAATGCTCAGTAAACATTAGAATAAATGAGTGTTAAATTCCTGTTAGAGTTATTGCTGCCAGCACCTAAGATAATCCTCTATAGATTGTGTCATTGATGATGAACAGGAAGTAGAATAATCAAGGCTATATAGACTCACAAAGACTCATTTCTTAAGTGGCTTAAATTATTGTTTAACAGCATCTCATGTGCTTCCAAGCTCTTTGATAATGTTACAGCAGAAAATGAATTAATGACAATTGTTCAGTGCAGTTGTGCTTTATCAGAGAATTGACTTTGTAACTTTGAATTACAATGTATACCTTCCAGATTTATAAGATGCAAGAGAGAAGGATCCTAGGATATTTCCTTGGAAGCAGAATGGTGCTGTTCATGCCCTGTGGAAAAAAGTACCACTCTGCAAAGTTGTCTTGGTAGTGTGTTAGGGTCCTATTTGTCTAGCCATCTTCCCTGCATGTGATAAAAATAAGTTTTTGTAGCTGCCTAAAGCCTTTTCCTAAGGGAGAAATACAATAATAGCAAAAGAAGTTCTTTTAGGGGTATTTGTTTGGAGGGAGGGGAACTGAGAAGATATTTATCACCAAAATACTCAGAGCATTTCTGATTATAGAAAAACTGCACGAGATGTGTAAGTGGAACATTTGTACCATTCAAAACCTTTTTCCCCAGGTGCAGTTTTGGTATCAATTGTCTGGGCGCTCACTCCTCTCGGTATTTACAAGAACACTAAAGGGAAATTTTCACAAGCAAGGTGAAATCATCGGATTCTCTGAATCTCAGTGGAGCCAGGCAAAAATCAGTCTATACACAGAAGCAGAAGAATCCTCTCTGCCTTTTCGGGTAAGTACTTAAGAAACTGATGCAACTCAGTGAAAGATATTTAATGCTAATCCTTTCAGACCACAAAATAAAACATGTGACTTGGGCCGTACTTAGATTCTTATCCCATGGCCTTATTTTCCTGCTGCTCTTAAGCATTGACAGTTTCTTTTTATTTATTTATTTATTTATTTATTTATTTATTTATTTATTTATTTATTTTTATTGAGTTTATTGGTACATTTAGGGTTTCTTTTATCAGTCTTTGATGTGATTAGTCTGAATCTCAGTGGAGCCATGCAAAAATCAGTCTATACACAGAAGCAGAAGAATCCTCTCTGCCTTTTCAGGTAAGTACTTAAGAAACTGATGCAACTCAGTGAAAGATATTTAATGCTAATCCTTTCAGACCACAAAATAAAACATGTGACTTGGGCCATACTTAGATTCTCATCCCATGGCCTTATTTTCCTGCTGCTCTTAAGCATTGACAGTTTCTTTTATCAGCCTTTGATGTGATTGTCTTGTTAACACTGTGATGCAAGAAGGCAACTGTAGCTTATTTAAGGGTGCTCCAGTTTATACCCTCCTCTCACGACTCCCCGATGATGTTTGGAAAGAGCCATTTGAGAACCCAGATGGGATGGGGCCTCTATAGGAAAGCACTGCTTTTGGAATCTGGGGCTCTGAGTTGCAATTTGTGCCTGTCTCACTGGTCCACGTACCTGCAGACTTTATGTTTGAGATTCCTATTCCTAATTCATCACAATGATGCTACAAGCAATACTTAAGGGAGTCTGGGTATTAAAGAGAGCGTAGATAAAATGGTAGCTCTCTGCGTGGGCTCTGCAGCCTGGGGTTCAAGACCAACAGGCAAGGAGCTTTGATCTCCTGTCAGTCTGCCTCTTCCTCTGTTGATGGGGGCCAGGAACATAATTGTTGGCCCTTGAGTCCCTAATAAATTATGTACCTTATTTAACCTCCAGTTTTTATCCTGTTGAGATAGATGTAGAAGTCAAATAGGTTAAAAAAATACTTTGGAACAGATGCCTTGGGGAATCTGTTGTTACATAGTTGAAGTAATACTTGACCTCAGAATAAATAGATTTACCCAGAGAACATCTCATTCTGTTAGCAAAATATGGGAAAATGGAAATCTCAGTAAGATTGACACTTATGAACACATGGACCTTTGAGGGGTCACATTTTGATTACACTGCGGCAGGCTGTTACTATGAAAGCTCTAAAAGGATCGCTGTCACTGACCTGAGCCATAACCATCCTGCTGGGAGTTGGCTGTAGTACATGTTTGTTTGAGAACGTACAGATGAATAAAGAGAAAAAGTTGCTCAGATTTCACCACCAAAATTGACCATTATAGGTCTATAATCTTGAGCCAGTGATTTAGAAAAATTTGATTTGCAAAACAATAAGCTTTTGGCAGTTGAATTGATATCCAGACTTCGCTGAATCAATGTAGTCTTCCAGCACACCTCACTTAGTTTATTTAGTGATGGGTTTGATTATATATGTGTTGTCCCCCACTTCTCTGAGGATATCATGGAATAAACATTACCCGTGTTATATGACATTGTCAAGTTTGAACTGTACCGATCTTAAAACCTGTCTGGTCCAAAGACTTTAGATCAGGGATCATGAGCTTATATTCATATTCTTGTGCATATCAGTTCTCAGTTCATATTTTTTATGCATATATATATATATATATATATATTTAATAGATACACCTGGCTCTATTAAATACATCAATATGTCATATTTGTTAAATATTTCAAACTAGTACTACATACAGAAAAAAAGCAAATATAAATGTATTCCCGTCTCAGAATTAACTGTCAATGTTTTATTTGCATAAATGCCAGTGTTTAGTTGGTGATCAAGATGTAATTTTGTTTTGCTTCTCTTCCCATCCCATTTCTAGTCCTCTGCAGGACAAATTTTAATGCTGTATTGGTTTTAATCTGATTTCTTTAATTGTATTTTGCGACAGCATAAGAACATGTTTGAGGATGCTAGCTAATTACAGTTCTACATCATTTAAAAAAATTAACCACAAATGTAAAAGATACTGTACTTACAAGTATTGCATCTAGGGCTTAAATATTCAAATACCTATCTAAAGTAAATTTTTTTTAGAAGCAGGCTAGGATTTTAGTCCTCTGAGTTTAGTGGGTTGCATTGTTTAAGGGTGACCTGAGACACTGCTTAGCCATCAGTTCAATACAACTAAGCTCTGAACATATTTATACAATGTAATCCAATCCAACCAAATCCAAATATCAGAAGGAAAGGTGTTGGACTATGGGACCTCTGTTCTCTTTTAACCATGAAATTCCTTTTAATGCCAATTTTAGACCATAACACAGTACAAATTGCTTTGAGTTTCTCAGGAAATGAGCATCCCTAGTTGGTAGGATAATCTTTCTTCCTGCTGGCAAAGGATTTGGCTTACTGTGTCTTCTCTAAAACCATTGCCATTTCCATATTCATTCTGTTACTTAGGTGGATTTCACTGGGAGAATTTCACCCGCATAGTAAATAGTACTCTTTCCAATCTGTTTCACCTTGGTCTGTTCACTTGTTATATTTGGCTTTTCACACAAGTATGTTCAGTTTTTAATTTCCCTTTTCCTTAGCTGCTCTTATATCAAAAGGGTTGTTTTCTGAATACTGTCCATTGATTTCACATTGTTGAACTTTCTCTGCAAGTTCTTGTGTAAACATAATAGTTTTATAGTTCATATTTCATCTTGAAATGACTCCTATTAAATTTTCCAGAATGACTGATAAGATTTTCACTCCTTAGCAGAGTCAGTGATATAAATCAATAGCAATTTCCTGGGATTATTTAAAGATTTAGTGAAAGATGAGCCTTACAGTACAAAAGTAAAAGCTGATCTAGTCTATGCAAAGTTGCCATATTCTCTGTCTTCTTAGTCTAGGGCTTTGTTAAATTCTGTCTTGCAAGGTAACTGTGTCAGCAGTGCCTGTGGAATATGAATTATCTCTTTACTTCATCATGGTGTAGCAGTATGGCATAATTAGCATGATCATTCATGGGTCCAGTTATGTATTTTTCTTGCTCTACCTTATGGTTTACATCTAGCCTTTCCCCTGAAGAGTCTCATGTGTTCAGAGGTGGGACTTTTGGAAGCTGATTGTATATATTACCATCAGCATCATCAGTAGGTTAATCTCCTGATGGACCCTTACCTGAAGGTGCTGTCAGGAGGTCGAACCGGGTCAGAAGCGGGGGCTGGGGTGCTGCCTGAGTACATTCCCCGCCCCCTCGGCTCTTTCCTTTGTTCTCTGTGTTTCCTGGTTGTGTGGTTGCACCTCCTTTGCTCTGGGATGTCCCTCTTCCTTCCTGTTTCTGCCTTGAAATTAACTGACCATGAACCAAAACAAACCCCCTTGAAGTTGTGGGTGTCAGGTGTTTTGGCCCAGTGATGGGAAAGTGACCAAGACACTAGAAATGCGACTTGCAGCTATTTCTATCATCTAAACTTCTGTTTCTTTCACTTGAAAATGATGATGAATATAGTACCATCTTCACAGTATTTAAAGAGGTAAACTAGCCTTGCACATAGTGCTAAATGAAAGTTGCTTGTTCCTTTGACAACACCACCATTCTTCAGAAGCTTCTCTATTCCAATTTCTTTCTCCTCCTCCTCCTCATTGTATTCTTATTTTCTCTTAGATTCATATTCATTGTTTTATTCTGGTTTTATGACAAGTAAATAAATATGGTAGTTGAGCATTTTTTGGAAAAGCTTCCCCATTTTATAGATGTAGAAAGTCATCCCTTGATTGTGAGCGACACTCATGAAGTATTCATTGTTTTATTCTGGTTTTATGACAAGTAAATAAATATGGTAGTTGAGCATTTTTCTGGAAAAGCTTCCCCATTTTATAGATGTAGAAAGTCATCCCTTGATTGTGAGCGACACTCATGAGTTGTTTATGAAAGCAAGAAATTAGTTCACTCTTTCAGAGAATAGATGAATACAACAGAATCATCAAGATCATGATGAATTGGTTTAGAAAGGAAAGACACGTACACTTCATTTAAACTTTGTGTCATTCAGAATCTTATAAAGGAAAGTTTTTACTTTTCCTCCATGAATGATTGGAACATCTCTTTTCTTTTTTCATTATTCATTGATACTAATTTCCAAGGGCCTTTGAGTTCTATGCAGAAGATAGGTTTTTTTGTTTTGTTTTGTACTAGGGATTGAACTCAGGCAGTGGCATCACTGCGCTAAAAATCACCAGCAGAAGACAGGTATGTATATCAAAGCAAAAATAGGAGTGGCTATAGTGATACTGAATTATAGGTGATAATTATTTACAATTATATATTTTAAAGGGGAAATAGCATTTTTTTATTTTAACCCACTTACGTCAGAGTTGTTTTTTGATTTTTTGCAAGGAATTCATATATGTAACCTAGAAAAACCCAAAGAACAAGAATTTGAAGAAAAAAATTTTTACTCTGCTCTGTTGTTATGGGCATTCCAAAAATAGAGCCCTGGGCCTTAACGGGTTAAATGGGAATGATTTTAATACTGGTAGAATTATGATCTTCTGCGATATGGCCTTGAATTTCATGATATAAAAATTAGCAGCAAGAGGTACAGCTGACCTCCTGTCGTTCTGATTTGGCTTTTGAAATTACATTTTAATGTGACTAACAGAGCCTGGTGCAGCACTTCCTGCAGGACGAAGTGACCACACTGTGGAGCCCCAGCTCGTGGTTTCACTTCACCTCCTGCCCACCCGTTCTCTCCTTAGGGTGTGGACCTCTCTAGAGAGCACGCGAAGTGCTTCAGAACGCTCTTTTCTCCAGTTTTTTGTGAGTCACACAGACCTTGGAGTACTGTGTTCAACACTTACCTGTGTCCTGTGACTGAATGATTAAGCAACTGTGTGTCAGTTGTCTTCTGTGCAGGATCCTGAGAACAATGGATAACAAGAAAAAAGGTTAAGCTTATCCCAAATGAATTATGGCTACTTTTACTTAATGATATTAAGCCTAATATATTTCTAAATTTCACTCGTATGTATTTCATCTAAACTCTTCATTCAAATCTATGTTACTACGTATTTTCTGCCTCTTGTAAAAGGGCCGTAGAAACCATCTCTAGTCAGAATTGTACCAGTCATCCCTGATAGTTTACATTGTGTTGTAAGACATCAAAAATCACATAAAACAAAACAAAACACAACAGTCCCTCCTGATCACCTTTATCTTCCATCATAGCCAATTTCTTGAGTATTTATAGACACTGGTTTATTTTTACTTTTCATTTTTAATTTATTGAATTTGTATGTTTGTTCCAGATATATCTAGAAATCTAAACCACTGTGTATTTTCAGTGTAAATAGTATCAAACTATAAATTACTTTTCCCAATAACTTAATTTTTTAAGGCAGAAACAAGTGTTGAAGTGTTGGAGCATTACCAGAGAGGCATTATTTTTATTTTTTAATTTTTATTTATTTTTTGGTACCAGGGATTGAACTCAGGTCCTTGCGCTTGCAAGGCAGGCGACTGAACCGCTGAGCTAAATCCCTGGCCCCTTGGAGGGATTATTTTTAAATGATATATTAATCCATGTCCTGTGTTACCATTTATTTATGGATTCACATTTGTTTCTAGTCATTTGGTATCAGCATTGACGTGAAAGTACCTGTGTGTGCTTGTGAGAAATGGGCTTAATTCACGTTGCCCGTGCTATTTCTATTTTTAGTAGATGTCACTCAGTTGTTCTTTTTGATTTTGTTCTCAGTGCTTTTCTTGATTTTGCTTGGTATGTTATACTTATTTTTTTCTGTAGCACTTATTATGTAGTTTAGTTGTTAGTATATTATACTGGGCAAAGGGGAAAAGAATGATCTTTTCCTGACCAAACATGAGGTTCAGGACTGATACTCCTGTAACAAAAGAGGTTACAAAAGAAAAAAAAAGTAATGATTTACTAAATTTTACTTGGGATGGACCTTTAGAAATAATATTCCTAAAGATGCAGGAAAAATTGTATGTTAATGCTAATGAAGAATGGATAATTATAAAAGAATGGTTTGACAAAAATGCGTGATAGAATGGTAATGAGTTGAAGGACATTTGGCAAGGCCCATTTGTTCAGATTCTTCTTGTCTCTCTGTAGGACTCCTCTCCTCCTGGTATGGGGCTGGACACTTTTCACATGAAAATACTGTAATGTAACCTACTTTTGAGAAAAGTGGATAAGAGAATCCCTTAAGGGCCAGCTCTCATACAGAAAAGGGAAAGTTGAAGTGACCTCCACATTTACCGTATTTCAGAGTAGTGTGTTCTGAGCCATTACACAAATTCCACCCAACCAAACTGTGAGATCCTGGAGATCAGGTATCCCGTGTGCTAAGTGGAAGATGAACCTATAGTCTCTGTCCAGGACTGCTGGTCTGCTACACAAGTCCTAAGGCTTCAAACGTTATCTTTCTTTCTTTTCCCCTACTTTCCTCCCCTCTTTCCTTCCTTTGTGGTGGAATAACAACGTAACAATGTGAGTGATTAAAAGGAAAGAAACAAATTATATCAGTCATTATTCAGAGTGTTGGAGTAAATTAAATTTAAATAGATGCCTCCCAGTGCTTTAACAGACAAGTGTGATTAACCGCTCTGTGTGGTTATTGGTTATGTGCTTTACCACACTAAAAATGTTTCTGTATGTATATACATAATACGCACATCTTTATATATTCTGAATATGGAAATGGATCACTGCCTCCAGCAGACCCATTAGAAATGAATTCATATCTCAATTAAATTGAGTTGTAAACCACACAGTTGATTACCCCAAACAGCTCATTTTAAATGTATATGATTCTTAATGGCTCCAGTGGGAAGAGAGGCCTTCCCAAGTGATGAATGTTGCAACTCTTAATTGAAACAATGTTACCTAAGATATTAAGGTTACATAAGATCTGTCAAAGTGGCTATGACTTTGTAAATTTGTAATCTGAACATTCTGATCAAAACAATTTTCTAAAATTGAAAGGGAAATCGGGACAGGTGCAAAGGAGTTGCTGTATACAAAGAAATACTGTTGTTAAGACTAACTCTTCTGGCATTTTAAATCATTTTTATCCTTCCATAATTATAGCTAATTCTAGAAGCTGCTGTTTTTTCATCGAATGCCACTGTCGCAGTAGATGACATCATTCTGTCAAAGGAATGTGAAATTTCCTCTAAGTCACTTTCAGGTACCAGCAAATACAACAAAGGTAAGTTTTTAAACTTGTGATGATTTGTGTTTTAAACATTGACTTAATTAGCTCTTCTTGAGATCAGCATATAAAATATATTAATGTCACTGGTGGAGTGCTTAACACGGAATCTGGATTATATCATCTACCCATGACACTTAAAATGCCCATTCTTTATGGCCCTGGGGATTGAGTCCAGGGTGCTGGGCCAAGCTGTGTCCCCACCGCTGTTCTGTTTGCTATTTCGAGATAGTCTGAATCTCTCAGTCACTCCATCTGGGCTTGAATTTGAGATCCTTGGGCTCATCCTCCCTTTGGGCTTGGATTACAGCTCTGCACCCACATATGGTGCTCACCTACCCCTGTTTTACTTCTCACTGTGAGACAGAGTGTTTCTGCTCTGGAATTTAACCCCCCCGACTCAGCCTTCAAGAGTGGGACAGTAAGCATGTGCCACCATGTCCAGCTTTTCTTTCATATTTTTTGTAACATCCCCTTACTTTATTTTTCAATATTTTTCCACTGAGTTTATTGGTACGCTTTAGGTATACAACAAAGTTATATTAATCATTGGGATCTTGTACCATTTAACTAGGTTATTTTCCCCCCATTCCCCTACCCTCTCTTTACCACCCCCACCCTACCTATTTACAAAGACTTTGTTTGCATGTTTTTCTTTTTCTCATATTTTTTTTTCCCCTTCTTATCTTTCTCCTGCCCCTCCCACTTCCTCTACTCTTTTAGACCTTTTCTTCCTATTATTCAATATCAGTTGGACATTTGGGTCCTTATTTATACTTTTCTGTTATCACACCAAAGAAACTATTTGGAATTTACAAGTGTGACTTATTGACTTCACTTAAGAGCATGGCCTCAGTGAGCATCCTCTTAGCTATATATGTCTCCAGTTTCTCGTTCTTTATAGCTGAGTAACATTCCATTTATTAAAAAAACCACATCTTTATCCAATCTCCAGTTGATGGGCATTTGGGCTGTTTCCAAATTTTAGCTATTATAAACTGTGCTGCTATAAACTTGGGTGCGCATATATCACTGTGCTATACTTCTTTTAATTCTTTTGGGAAGATAACCAGCAGGGGAATAGCTAGGTCAACTGGGACTTCAAATCCTAGCTCTTTGAGGTATCTCCATATTGATTTGCACAGTGGTTGCACCGGTCTGCACTCCCACCAGCAATGAAAAAGAGTTACTTTCTTCCCACAAACCTGCCAGCGTTTGTTATTGGTTAATTTCTTGATAGCAGCCATTCTTTGTGGGGTGAGTTGGAATCTCAGTGTTGTTTTCATCTGCATCTCTCGAATGACCAGTGATGTGGAATATTTTTTCATATATTTGTTGCTGCTTTTACTTATTTTTCTGAGAAGTGTCTGTTCATTTCAGATGCCCGTTTTTGAATTTGGGCTTTATATTTGGGGCGAGGGTCTGATTTTTTTGAGTCCTTTATATATTCTAGATTGTAAACCTTTGTCTGATGAACAGCTGGTAAAAATTTTTTCCCACCTTGTAGGTTGTCTCTTAGCTTTGTTGGTGATTTCTCTGGCACTGCAGAAACTTTAATAAGATGAGACCCCAGTTATTGATTCTTTATACTAGCTCCTATGTTACTGAGAATTTGTTCATAATCTATGCCAGTATCTTCAAGAGTTCTACCTAACTTATCTTCCAGCATGTTTAGTGTTTCTGTTTTAATATTTATATCTTTAATCCACTTGGATTTTAGTTTAATGCATGGTAAAAGATACGGGTCTAGTTTTAATCTTTGGCAAGTTGAAAGCCAGGTTTTCCAACACCCTTTATTAAAGAGGTTATCTTTCCTCCAGTGAGTATGGTTGGCTTCTTTGTCAAAGATGAGGTAGCTGAGTATGTCAGGAGTTGTTTCTGCATCTTCTAATCTATTCCACTGGTCCTTGATTCTGTTTCTTTGTCACTACTATGCCATTTTTATCACAGTGGCTTCGTAGTTTAGTTTCAAGTTGGGGATTGTGATACCCCCTGCCATATCTGTGTTGCCTAGAAATGCTTTTGCTATTCTAGGTCTCTTCTGGTTCCAAATGAATTTTTCTATTGTTTTCTCTAATTTTGTGAAACATACTGTTAGAATTTCAGTCAGGATTGCATTGAATCTGTATAGCAGTTTTGGAAGTATGACCATTTTCACTATATTGGTTCTTTTATATTTTAAAGTAAAAATATGAAACAATCACATTCTAGATCTTAGGCTCTCATTCACTTATATGGAAGAGATTCTACTCTTGTAGCTAAAGTGTTCACACAATTTTTAAAGTATAAAAAGTATGAAAGAATTATAGTTATTTTACATGTTTTAAAGACAATTCTATTAAGATTCACTATTCTACTAATTTATTTTTCTGTTTCAAATGAGCTTGTAATGAAATTTGTATTTCAAAGTCACTCAGGAGTTAAACAAATGTAATTATATTTGGAAAAGTGATTGAAAGCCAGCCAGAAATTTAAAAGTTGACCATAACATTCTTTACTTACAGTTAAAACATATTTTTAAGTAGAAGATGGAGTTTGTAAAGAATTTTAATTAAGAGCCACAAAGAATGTAATAAAAATAGATTCAAATCAGTCAGATACTGTATGTTGTAAATATAATCATTGAAATCTCGTAGAGCACTGAACATGTATACATCCTTCCTCTGGTCACTCCACAATTTAACAGTAATTAAAGTTTCTTTCTGACATCTCTCACTGTGTGTCTCCATTAATAAGTAGAGAGCATTAGAAATTTTCCCTGAAAGCCATCAGATTTCACTTTTCCAAGTTCTTGTGTACAGAGACTATTTGTCACATGAAAATCCAGCATTCTGCGTATGATGCAGTTATGTTTCCTTGAACAATATATTTAATGAGAAAAATTGCATTCTTACAGAAGCTAAATGCACTAATTAGGGTATATAAAGAACTGGATTGAGACCTGGATTAAAGAAATTCTTTAACAATTAATTCATTTTAAAATTGCAATTATACACATTTTGGGACTACCGTGACATAATTCAATACACGCACACGTCATATTATTAAATCTGGGTAACACTAATCTCCCTAAACCTTTAACATTTTTTTTAAAAATCACAAATAATTGTACATATTTGTGGGGCAGTGTGATGTTCCACTACCTGTACATAATAAATACTGATCAAATCATGGAAATTAACATTTTTATCTCATTATTACTTTGACTTCTAGATTACAAGCTCCTTTATTCTAGTAATTAAATATATAAAAGTTGTTGTGAACTGTAGTTGACCCATTGTGCTGTAAAACTCTAGAACTTACTACTTAATCTGAGTTTGGTTTCTATTTTCCAACCTTCCTCAAAAACCTCTGCCCCATTCCCCGCTCAGCCTATTAATCTGCACTGTATATTTTCATTCACTTTTAAAAGCAGTAACGTATGATAAAGAAGGGTCTGATGTTTGTCTGATTTGTTTCACTTAATGGAGTCAGCTTTCCTTCCACCCATTTTGCTACAAATTCTATCACCTGTTTTTATGGCTGGATGATTTCCCATCATGTATGTGTAGATTTTCTTTATTCACCCATCTATTCATGGGGATCTAGATTAATGCAGGATTTTGGCTATTATAGTGAATTTAATTAAAGACCCTTTATTGCAGACATGTTGTACTCAACAGTTGGTGTAATTCTGTGTGTTAACATTGTGGGTCAGGATGTGTGTCATACAGGCATAAAACAAATCTTTCTAATCTCTGCATACATTTGTGTGTGTGTGTGTGTGTGTGTGTGTGTGTGTGTGTGTGTGTGTTGCTCTGATAGACCTCGATAAATGCAAACCAACACATTTAGTGATTCACGAATTTTCAGGATTAACAAGCATTATCTTTTTCATGTTTATTACAATATTTCTCCTAATGAAATACTTCTGTACTCAAACTGGATTTATAGGCATTAAAATTGGCATTAAAGACATGCCTCTGGAAATTTAGAGCCAGAACAATGTGATAGATAGTCCCCCATCCATCACAAGGGTCACAGCCAGTACACCTATGATAACAGACAGATCAACAAGAGAAAAGCACCCCATGTTTAATGAAAGTTTTACATGACACAGGAGCCTTCAGAAATGAAGACCTAGAGCATTGTTTGCATTTGTATTTTGATTCCATGAGGGAAGATCAGAGACACAGAAATGTGACTGGATGAAAGAGTCGCAGTCAAGGGGAAGGGATACCTGGCGAACTCTGACCAGATTCTTCCTGGCCACGTGGGGAGCCTTCCTCCCCTGCTGTTACGGGCTAGGGCCTCTGTGGAATGAGCCTCTTGGTTACGTAGAAGTTTGAAAAATTAAATCAGAGCCCGGTGTGGTAGCATACACCTATAACCCCAGAACTAGGAAGGCTGAGACAGAAGGATTGCTGTTAAGAGTTCAAGGCCAGCCTGGGCTGCATAGTGAGACCCTGTCTCAAAAAAACAAAGATTAAGTCAGAACTCATTTACATATGCCTCAGTCTGAATACCAGATCAGTGGGTTAGAGCATAAATCTAAATAGGCCAAAATTACATGAGTGATTCCTGAAAGACTAAAGTTTTCACACAAAGAAAAACACATTATTCTTGCATAAATCTGTGCAGTCGGCACTATAGGAGCTCTTTTCTGGAGTTTAGTGTTACTATGGGCAGAAGATTAGGAAGAGTCTGGGAGGGAAATTTTAAAATGCTCCATGTCTCACAGGCAGTGAATTGTTATGCCTGTAGGACACGGTGGCCAGAGATTTCCCCTGACCCCGTCCTTGAACTGAGGCTTTTAAAGGCCTTGCCCGACAAACAAGTGGCTTCACCCGTTCTGAGCAGTCGTGGAGCAGTGGCCTTCTACATTTACGTGTTGAGTGTGACTCACAGGATGAAACAGCAGGTGGTACTCTCATTTGGCCTTTTGTCCAGCATCCTCACTTTCAGCATATTTAAAAACTAGTGCTGATGGAACCACTGTATGTTTCACTTATTTGTTG